ACACACCTGTCCCTGCAGCTAGAGTTCTCCTACCCAACGCAGCTCTCAGCCAATGTCCATGGAGGCCTCCCCTGCTCGCCCCCCTTTCTGCCTCCCTTGCTCATGAACACCTCCATGCGCTATCTGTAAGCCTACGATTTAGTCAAGGGTGTTTTTACTAAAAGTCATGGGCCGGTCACGGGCAATAAACAAAAATTCACAGCCCCGTGATCTGTCCATGACTTATACTATAAATACCCCTGACTAAACCGGGGGGTGGGGGGGATGTCAGTGGCACCAGCTGCCGGGGGCCACTGGAACATCGGCTGCTCCAGCCGCCTTGGGGACCACCAGCAGCGACTGCTCCAGCCGCCCTGGAGCCGCTGCTCGGCGGTACTGGTGCCAGCTGCCCAGAGCAGAGGCTGGTGTGGCTGGCCCTGGGGCCGCCCAAGCGGCTAGCTGCAGAGCTGCTCCAGCAATGGCAGGCCCCGGGGACAGCTACTTGGGCGGCCCTGGAGTCAGCCACACTGGCCTCTGCAGAAGTCACAGAGGTCGTGGAAAATCACGGAATCCATGACCTCCGCACCCTCCATGACTGACACGAAGCCCTAGTTATCTGCAAGGGCCCTCCAGCCTCTTTGCCGAGCCCCCTCCCTCACTTTGTTCCAGTCCCTCCTACCATTTCACCTTAACAATATGAGGGGTTCACGTTCACGTTATAAAAGGATCACCAAATCATCAGGACATGGATGCCCCTCAAGCAACCTCGAGACCTTCGCACTCACGTCTCTCCCTTTGCCGGTTTGTGACTGTTTCCTGTGTCATTGATAATTTACATGGCACCGCCTTGGGGTGGGGATTACACCTTTGTTTTTGTGAAACAGCAACACACTGCTTGGTGCTCAGAAACTATGCAACAACAAACAGAGGATTCAATGAATTACTTAAGAAGTCACCATTTTGAGACGGGATCGTCACCTGGTCACCAGTGTATTATACACCTGTTCAGCCTATCTACAGATGCCCAGTGGGGCAGCAGCTGCCTGTCTGTTTTGTGCCGTGGCACGCACGGATGGGAATCAGGAAATAACGACTAATATAAAAAGGGCAAGTGGCAGAGTAAACCGACATGAACAGTAAACACACAGCAAAATTAGTGGAAAGTAAACTCAAATTCTAGAATTCTTGCGGTTATAATAATTGATGGTGGTTTTGTAACACTGGCTGCTGGATCAGACTTCTGCCCCACAACGCAGTTTGGTGGATCAGGTCGTTTCAAGGGCGGACAAAATAATTAAGATTTTATTTTCACTGCCACCAAATAACCTTTATTTGAAGGTGTTTTAATTTACAGTTGCTCCGTGGATGAAGAAGACAGTTGTGTTGGACCCTATTTGCCCCCTCAGTCCCCTGGTTTATTACTACTCTTATTTCAAATAAAGCTGTCTGCACAAGGTGGGGGAGAAAACAGACCATTTTATTTAGAGTCTAACGCTAGAAATGGGCTAAATACACATATAGAAAATAGAAAAGGAAAACTGAATCAGGCTTGAAACAGAAGGTACTGTAAAATCTTTACATACAGGAATTAAAAATCTAGTATTGTACTGAACTGTAAGTGATAAACACAACAAAACCATAGGGGTTCCTCTGCCCTTGTCTCTGCATTAGCACTGGAGATGCTATCCCTTGTCAAAGTTGTAGTTATCCATTCCCAGGGAAGGGCCCCTGAGCCTTTGATCTAAGCATTCGGCCATCCACTCCACACACTAACCACATCAGAGTTCCCCATCCAGGCTACCGTAAAGCTCTGTTTTGCTCTGAAAAGTGACTATGTAAAATTGGCCTCGTGGAGGTTCCATGTTCATTGTGTCTCAAGGACTCTCTATTAAATTTGCTCAGATTAATGCTGCTTTCCTAATGGCCAAAACTGCAAGACTCATAGATTCCAAGGCCAGAAGGCACAATTGTGTGGACCTCCAGTAGAACAGAGACCAGAGAACTTTCGCAAAATAATTCCTAGACCAATTCCTAGAAAAAACATCCAGACTTGATTTAAAAGTGCTAGCGATGGAGAATCCACCATAACCCTTGGGAAATTGTTCCAATGGGGGATTACGCTCATAGTAAAAAATTTGCCCCTTATTTCCAGTCTGAATTTGTCTAGCCTCAGCTTCCAGCCATTGGATCATGTTATCCCTCTCTCTGCTAGACTGAAGAGCCCATTATTAAATTCCTGTTCCCTATATAGATACTTCTAGACTGTAAACAACTCATCCCTTAACCTTCTCTTTGTTAAGATCAATAAATTGAGCTCCTTGAGTCTGTCACTATAAGGTATGTCTTCTAATTGTTTACTCATTCTTGTGGTTTCAGAGTAGCAGCCGTGTTAGTCTGTATCCGCAAAAAGAACAGGAGTACTTGTGGCACCTTAGAGACTAACAAATTTATTAGAGCATAAGCTTTCGTGGGCTACAACCCACTTCTTCGGATGCATAACGAAGAAGTGGGTTGTAGCCCACGAAAGCTTATGCTCTAATAAATTTGTTAGTCTCTAAGGTGCCACAAGTACTCCTGTTCTTTTTACTCATTCTTGTGGCTCTCCTCTGAACCCTCTCCAATTTATCAACATCCTTCTGGACACCAGTACTAGACACAGTAGTAAAACAGTGATCTCACCAGTTCCAAATATGAAAATAAAATAACCTCTCTACTCCTATTCGAGATTCCTGTTTATGCATCCCAGGATCGCATTAGCCCTTTTGGCCACAGTGTCGCACTGGGAGCTCATGTTCAGCTATTTATCCACCATGGTCCCCAGATCCTTGTCAGTCACTGCTTCCCAGAAGAGAGTCTCCCATATGTAAGATTGATCTACGTTCTTTGTTCCTAGATACACATTTCTAACCATATTAAAATGTCTATTGTTTGCCTGCACCCAGCTTACCAAGCGATCTAGATCGCTCTGTATTAATGACCTGTCCTCTTCATTATTTTCCACTCCCCCAATTTGTGTGTCATCTGCAAACTTTATTGGTGATGATTTTGTTTTCTTCCAGGTCATTAATACAAATGTTAAATAGCGTAGGGACAAGAACTGATCCTTGCAGGATGCCGCTAGAAACACACCCATTCACTGATAATTCCCCATTTACAATTACATTTTGAGACCTATCAGTTAGCCAGCTTTTAAGCCATTTAACATGCACTATACGTTCATTTTATATTTTTCTAGTTCTTTAATCAAAATGTCATATGGTACCAAATCCAATGCCTTACAGCTCACTCTGGGATCTGAAAGCCAAGCTGGGTTCTTTCTGGTTCATGCATCACCAATGCAAATCTGAGTCTACAGACAAAACTCTACCTCAGCTACACCTGAGCAACTGCACTGAATTTCCTCAGTGTTGTCAAACTTTTCAGAACTATTGAATGATGGGAGCCCCTGCAGACCTCATGAGCTCCTCTACATTCCATTCCTCTGCAGATACCTCCCTCCTGCTTCCCAGACCACCTCACCTGAGCTGAAGCGTCCGTCTACCCTCTCTTCCAGATCTAATTCAGCCCCTGCCTCCCACGTGGTTCTCTCCTTCCTGCTCCTCGCCTCACGGACAATATGAATGTCAACACAGCAACATCCATTCCAAAATAGCCCATGGGTTAGGAACTCCACAAGCTTTTAATTAACCCCTTGTAATAGTTAATTAACTCCCACCCTAAAACACAGTTGGGGCATCAGCCCTTGTTGAGACCAACAGAACAAAGCAAATGTGGTCGCTAGACTCAACTGTGTGAGAGAAAATGAGCCAAAAACAAACTGTTCAAAGAGCAGAACCTGTTTTCCTCCAGACTTTCTGGAACCGACCTACCCAGTGTAAGAGCAAGATGTAACCTTTCAGGGAGAGGGTGGAAGTGAAAACCGGCTTATAAGAGACACTCACTTCTCCCTTCACTGTGGAGAAGCTAATCTCTCCCCACAATATATTTCAGCTTTTAGACCAATATATCAAATAAATCATCATGTAATCAAACAACCTCCTCTCTACTCCACACTTTATTGGGAGATGTCTAAGAACACGACATCAGACACTGCGTGCAGCTAGCTGCCCTCAACGTTCCGTTTAGACCAGTCAAATAACATGATGTTTTATATTTTTAAAGTACAGGATTACAGAATGCACACACGCATGGCCACACACACACACACACACACACACACACACTCACTCTTAGGTGTAAATCGAACTCCTTACCTTGTGAAGAGAACTCAGACTGGGAAGCAAAACGGCAAAGCTCTGATTCTGAATGCATCACATCATTGTTTGGCTTATCACATACATTCAAACTTTTCACAACTAAGTCTAAGTGATTCTCCCAGTCCTGGTCTGTCAGGTCTCCCTCAAGCCCCGGGGAAAGGGTGGGAGGCCTGTGCTCCAGGCACTCCTTTCCCTTTAGTGAAAAGTCACTAGAATTCAGGCCCCCAAAGGCGCCCCTGGAGCTCTCTTCGTCCCTAGATCTATGGACGTGCCGACTGGTTCTAGCACTGCTTTGGTTAAAACGCTGCCATCGCTTCTTGGGTGCTACATGGTTTACATCATTAGACTCATCCCCCAGGGAGCTTTCGCTATTCACTTCTGAATCCAACTCTAGGCCCTCACCATTTTCAGCAGAAGTGCAACTCTCAGTATTTTTATCAGGTTCAGGCCTCTTCCTGATATGATCTAAATTGTCATCAGATGAACATGCAGAGTCTTCATCAGTGGAGTGCTCCATTAACTCAAGAGACTCTTTCCTTGCAGTTTCTTCTATTTCATTATAAACAAGACTAGGAACCAATCCCTGCCTATCCCTGCGTGGGAGGGATGCTTTCTCCGCTATATTACTGGAGACCTGATTTAGAGGCTTGCTCAGCCCTTCTAGCTTTAAATCCTTTCTGACTGATGTTGCATTATCTACTAGCTTGGATGACTGCTTAGATTGTGAACAGTTGTGTCTTGAGATGCAGTTTGTGCCATTCGTACCAGAAAGAGCAGGAACTGTGGGCTCCCTTTTGTTAGTACTCCGCCCAGTTATCTTGGCTGTAGTGCTGCACGAAAAAGAGGATTCACTCGCACTGGGGTTCTGACATGTTGCTTCCAGAACGCAATCCCCATTTTTTTCTAATTTATAAGCGGGTCCTTTTGTACCCAAACCCTTCAAGCCACTTGCAGAATTACTTCCAGAGGAGCTGCTCATGCCAGCATTTCGATACGGGACCATATTCTGAACTGACATCAGCTGCTGCTCTTTTGTCTTACTATCATGCATATCTTTCAACATCATTAGCAAGGTGCTGAATTTGTAGTCTGGCTCAATGGGCAAACGACTCTGCCCAGAGGCAGAAGAGAAGAGTAAGGGTGCTGTGGTCTTAGGTGCCCCATAGTCACTAGCTTCATCACCAAGGGACCTAAAGGACAGTTCCTTCAGCTCTGAGAGGACATGCTTCACCACGGCGGTCTCTATTTCAGCAGAATCCCTGGCTCTCTCATGCACATTATTTAATGGTTCCTGACTATCAACTTTCCCGCTCTTGGCAGGTGGACCAGTGAAACCTTTGGTGTCAGAAGAGCAGCAATTCACACCACATTCCTCTTCTAGCAGAGGGGGTTCTGTCCCAGCAGCACTCTCCTTGTGTTTGCTTCTTATACTTATGAGCCGGGGCACTTTGATGTTTTTCAGGTGTAGATTCAGTTGATTTGTAATCCCAGTGTGGGAGCTCTCCCGGCAAACATTCTGGGGTGTAGGGTGCTTATCTGCAAGGGAAAGATGGTCATTTCTCATAGCTGAAGTACACTCCAGAGCAATAACAGGCATCTCAGTGTCCGAGACTGCTCCTTGGAGCTCCCCATCCACAGATTCAGCATCACTCCTGCCACCTCTAGGGCCTGCTGGAGTTCTGTGATCTCTAGATGACCTTTTCCTAGCTCTTCTGTTGCTGTTTTGTGAGAGATACATGGAACATTTACTGTTTCCCCTCATCCCTGGAAAGAATTCCTTTTCTTCTTTATCTGCAGAGTCACTAATCTCCAGGGCACTGCAGGCTGCCTCAGAACTTTGGTCCCCGGTATCTAGATCACTAGTCCCATCATCTGAGAAGGAAGTCAGCGAATCGGACTCCGTTTGCTTTTTCTCAATAGAAGTGTCAGCTGTAGAATAGTGTACCTGTAATTTGGAACTGCAAAGAATGCCTACGGGGCTTTTCTCTTTCTCTGTAGAGCTGCTAGAAAGCAAATCCCCTTTCAGTGTGTCCCGTAGGGAGTCACCATGAGGAGCCGGATACTCCTGTTTCAAGGTTGTCTTTTCAAAACGTCTTTCTCCAAAAGAAGAGAGCAAGTAGTTTTCCACGGCACCATTGGAGGCTGTGAGGCTGTTTGCTATCCGGCACAGTTCATGGGATGCGTGTTTATCCGGCAGGTCCCCAGCAACCCTGTTTCTAATGACGTTCTCTGGGGCCTTTCCTCCAATTTCTCTCCTAGATGCTTCCAGTCTGGTGCTGCTCTTTTTTACTCTAGTCCTTTTCCTGCTGTCTGAGCTCTTTTTCGCTTGTGATTTAGTGCACGACCTTCCCTTCTCCCTGGCTAAGTGTTTGGAGTCAAACGCCAATGATTTAAAACAGCCGTTCAGCTGCCTGTCCGGTTCCATTCCAGGGCCATTAGTGCAGGATTCCAACAGCACAGCCTCACTCTTCAGCTTGCTGGGATTCTGACTACACTTTTGATCCTCAGTCCCCTTGAGAAGGAATTCTTCCGCATGTCCAACACTGACTTCCCATTTCGCCACAAACCTCTGAGGAACCTGAATGTTTGAGAGAAAACAAAGCGCGGTTACCATCAAACAAACATTTAGCAGAACCATCAAGTGAAACAACACGTAAGAGAGGACACTACCCTGCTCGAGTGTATGCCAACGGGAGCAGCAGTCTCCGGGACAGGAGTCCAGCACCTCATGGCTAACATGGCTCCTGGACAGCACATCCACGGAGCACAAATGCACAGGACTCCAACGGAAATCACCGGAACTCCCAGCTGCAGAACTGTTTGGATCACAATACTAGTAAATTAATGTCCTGCGTGCTTTCCTAGTGCTATTGAAGCTTCTCCAATAGCAGCCCTACAGTGTTCTCTAATGTGGCACCAACACTCTCAAGCCTGAATCATGTCCGACATCCTTCTTCCAGCGAAGGAGGGAGGGGTGCAATTCCCCCCCAACCTGTCACTACTGACAAAAGGGGTGCCTGACAGCACTGGCCTTCCTCAGGGACTGAATGCACTGGCCTCCCAGCATGCATCTAATGCAGCAACCTGCACAGCAGCCAACAGGAAGGAGAATCCGACACGGGCCCCTGCATGGCAGGGCAGAGCACCAACCACTGGGCCATCAGAGGGGCCTCAGCATGCGTCTCTCTAAAACATGCCATAAAGAACGCGCTGGTTTGCTCTGTCCTGACACTTCTTGCTTCCATTTATTTCACACTGCATCTCAACTTGTTCTCCCCACAGCATCCCCCTTCTCTGCCACCCCACGTACAAACCCGCCACTTCCACAGGGATGTGCCTAACCCTAACACACTCCGCTGTTCTTTCTGCTTAAAAGGCTCCCAGGATCCATATTGAGTTTTGTACCCTTAACACAAGAAAAGGTGCCCAGGGCATTGGATAGGCACATCCTGTAGGTGCCTGACTGAACACCAGTCGTTTTAAAGAAGCCTGGCTTTCAATCAGGGTTTGTTGCTCTTAGCTGAGCAATGACAAACTGTAGGTTTTCATTACTACTCCTGAACCAAAATGAACCCCAGGTCACGGGAGCAGTCTGAATTCCCACCACTTTTCTTTTAAAGGGTGATCTACAGAATCTCAGCTGACTAAAGAATGGCAAGTAACCCAGTGGCACAAGGCAGCCAGATCCTTTGCAGCTTTGCGGGAGACCCTGGCGGGCAACCCCCTTGCTGATACAAACCCAGAATATCAAGTAGGCAATGTGTTTGGTTTACATAGGTGCAGCCATGCCAGCACTACACCCCAGCAATTCACAGAACTGGACTCAAGCCATGGACTTCCTGAGTCTTGGGCACAGAGCTAACAGACACGAAGCTGGGAACAAAGGGCGAGAACTGCAAATGCTGAATGAAGAGGTGAGGAATATCCCCCACACAAAAGGAACCAGGAGAAAGGAAAGCGTAAGAGTAGTGAATCCTCTGGTGCTTTTTACTACAATCACCCAATCACTTACACTGAGACAATTACATCTGTCCCACTAACAAAGCAGCCACTACTGTCAGCAGTTAAACCATCAGTATAAGATACAACTGCTTCCCTCTGGCTGCTCACTTGCAACCAGGGACGGCTTTAGGAAGTGTGGGGCCCGATTCGAACAGTTTCGACAGGGCCCCGACAGGGATGACTAAAAAAAAAAACACGTAAAAAAAACACGCGGGGCTTGTACTCACCGGGCCGCGCTCCTAGTCTTTGGCGGCGGGTCCTTCACTCGCTCCAGGTCTTCGGCGGCACTGAAGGACCCGCTGCCAAAGACTTGGAGCGCCGCCGGGTGAGTAAAAATTAAAAAGGTGCCTCTAGCCAGGGAAGGGATTCTCTGCCACTTGCCCCCCACTCTGGGCAGCCTTGCCACTGGGCCCTCTTAGGCGCGGGGCCCGATTCGGGGGAATTGGTGGAACTGGCCTAAAGCCGGCCCTGCTTGCAACCATCCAGTGGCCTTCTGTATTCCTTCACTTTAATAATGCTGAACTGGTGAATTTCTTCAGTCATCTTTATAAGGTTGCAGGGCAGGAAGCTTGTATTATATTAAGTTGTACAAAGGCATGTCTGCTCCAGGGTTGTACCTTTGAAATAGAGGCTGCTTCACGAGCAGATGATGTGCTAGACTATGCAACTCCCTCCCAAAGTATTATCAGCGAGGCACTTTCTAAGTCAAATCAGGAGGAACTCTAAATGCTTATATAACTTATTACAGAAGCAGGGTTCAAAACACGGTTATTGTATTTTATGTAGTGCTCTAATACAGAATGGAAGCATGGTCTGTCCCCGAGTCAGCCAGGAGAGGTCACTGGAGAGCAAAGCAAGTTACTTCCAAATGCACACTTTTAATGATCAGAACTGATATTTCACATCAATAGAACTGTACTGTTGAATAAAACAGATAGATAGTGAGTATGTCAAACTGTGACAACTTCTCCACCTCTCCGAATACTCTCTATGGTAACTTACAAACTACAGACCAGGCCCTTAAATAAGAGCAAGTCTGGAAACTCCTTGTGGCTTAAAAACCTCTGATTATCACAGGAATACTGCAAATCCATTTACCAGCTGTGCCCTCACAATGATCACTCCACAAAAACATTTTTAGGGTGCGTTTCCAGACATATAAGAACAATTCGACTGTGCAAACACAAGCTACTTTTTAATCTCAGAAAAGAGTGAGCCAAGCAAGCTATCAAGAGCAGAAGCTTTACCTTGTGCTTGTAGCCTTTTTCTTTTTGCTTCCCTCTTCTCCGAAGGACAGGCAGCTCTTCAAACTGGTATCTGCCTTCAAAAAGTACAATCGCTTTTCCTGCAACCCAGGCTTTCTCAGAAGGGTCTCCTAAGGCATCTACGTAGTACTCTCGATATGGTCTCCGATTGGAAACTATTTAAAGAAATAAAACAGGATTATTGTCTTGCTTAAAACAGCATACTAGTGTGGGAAAGAAAGCACAGAAAGTGACAGCAGGTTTATTAGTAGATTCTCCACACATTCTCCTAACATCTTCCTAAAATCCTAAACAAATGCCAGCTAGGAGAACGCCTAGTCAGAGGGTTGGTGGGCATGCTTTTGTCTTAGTTTTCCTTGCTTTTGGTTGATATTTTGCATCTTGGAGCAGAGTTTGCTGTTAAATAGTTGACATCAGGCTTCGGGAACTCTTCCTCACGGGAGCAAAGACTTGGAGTTTGGTGAAAACAAGCCAACCATCTCCCTCTGTGACAGGAAATGAATGTAAAGTGCAACCCTTAACGATCAAACTGTCTAGTCCTCTAGATCAGCGGTTCTCAAACTTTAGCAAGCCAAGGACCGCCCATTTTGATTTTAAAATGTTCACGGACCCCCAAGCCCCCTGCTCAGCCCCAGGCCCCGCTAGGGTTGCCAACTTTCTAACTGCACAAATACCAAACATCCTTGCCCCGCCCCTTCCTCAAGGCTCCAGGCTGGGCCCAAGGGATTTGGAGCGCAGAAGCGGGCTCAGGGCTGGTGCAGGGGTTTGAGATGCGGGAGGGGGTGCTAGCTACAGCTGGGGGCACAGGCTCTGGGGTGGGGCCACGGATGAAGGGTTTGGGTGCAGGAGGCAGCTCCGGGCTTGGGCCGAGGAGTTTGGAATGTGGGAGGGAGTTTGGGTGCGGGAGGGGGTTCCGACCTGGGGCAGGGGGTTGGGTGCGGGGTCTGGGAGGGGATTCTGACCTGGGGCAGGGGGTTGGGGTGCGGGGTCTGGGAGGGAGTTTGGGTGCGGGAGGGGGTTCCGACCTGGGGTCGGGGGTTAGGTGCGGGGTCTGGGAGGGGGTTCCGATCTGGGGCAGAGGGTTCAGGGTGCAGGCTTCGACCAGGCAGCGCTTATCATAGGCGGCTCCTGGTCACTGGCGCAGCGGAGCTAAGGCAGGCTCCCTAACTGCAGCCTGGCTCCACGCTACTCTCAGAAGCGGCCATGTCCAGCCCTATGGCACATGGGCAGCCAGGGAGGTTCCACGTGCTGCCCTTGCGCCCACAGGCACCGCCCCCGTAGCTCCCATTGGTCGCTGTTCCCCGACGTGCAGGAGGCGCTGGGAGGGAGGGGGAGGAGTTGAGGGAGGGAGGGACAGGACTTGTTCAGTGGGGCCTGCAGACCCCCTGGAGTACCCTCGCGGGCCCCAGTTTGAGAAACCCTGCTCTAGATGGTTGTGAAAACTGCAGGCAGGTGGGATGGAGATACATAGAAACTAGATACTTCTGAGTCATTCACATATTACCTCCATCTCCCAAACCCCCCAAGAGATGAGCCCTTCTGTCTCTGTGCTGGAATTTGGGAGAGGAAGCCCTCAAACATCATCCTAGGCCAGGGGTGGGCAAACTACGGGCCAGGGGCCGCATCCAGCCCCGCTCCACGTGTGCCGTGGCGCTGCATGGCTCGTGGAAGCAGCAGCACGTCCCCCCTCCGCCTCCTACGTGTAGGGGCAGCCTGGGGGCTCCGCATGCTTCCCCCTCCCCAAGCACCACCCCCGCAGCTCCCATTGGCCAGCACTCCTGACCCCCTGCCCCAGCCCTGATCCCCCTCCCGCTCTCCGAACCCCTTGGTCCCACCCTCCTGCACCCCAGAGCCTGCACCCCCAGCAGAAGCCTTCACCCCAACCCCCTGCCCCAGCCCAGAGCCCTCTTCTGCACCCTGAACTCATTTCTGGCCCCATCTCAGAGCCTGTACCCCCAGCTGGAGCCCTCACCCCCCTCCCACCCCCCAACCCCCAATTTCATGAGCATTCATGGCCCACCATACTATTTCCATACCCAGATGTGGCCCTTGGGCCAAAAAGTTTGCCCACCCCTGTCCTAGCCCTTAATTTCCAGCTTGTTCAGCAGATCATTGCCTGACACTGAACATCTATCCTGGACTCAGAACGTTGGTGGCAGCAGGTGTAGGAATCTAAGGAGCAGAATATAAAGGTGTTCCAGCTAGTCCTTACTCTGAGCACGCATGCAATATGTGAGACACTGTGCAGTTATACTAGATACCTGCATGCTCTGGGGGCACAAGGCAAAGGCAGGACTCTAGTACAAGCACGGATCTGGAAGCGTGTGACTACTTAAAAGGTGTTTTCTTGATAAGGGCATTCAGTGAGCTCAGCATGGTGAAGGAATGAGAGGCATTGTAACACTGGGCTACATGGCATGCTGAAAGGAAATGCTGAGTGCTTGTGAAAGGTCCTGGACTGAGGACAATAGAACAAACATTACAGGCTTCTTCCCCACGCTGCCCCACCCTGTTCTGCAGGGACCACCTCTAACGGTGACAGGGCAGGTCAGTGCTTGGCTTCTCTGCTGAGATTGCCAACAGTAGTGCCAGCCCCAACGGTGTTCTAGAGATATGGGCATCAGGGATTAGACTGAGACCACCCACTCACTTACCCGATAGGACACAGTACAGCACTCGGAGCGTGGTACAGCATAAAGACTTCTGGCAAATACTGACCTGAGCTAGTGTCAGGCCAAAGACAGAGGCAAAAGACTGCACGTATCCTATTCCCAATCCCTGAACCAGCCAGTCTCACTGAGCAGAGGGAAATGGCTTTAAACAAATCACAGCGTGACAGGAGACAAGCTCTCTGGGTAAGGGATGGGTTTGAACAACCCAGTGTTTGTTTCCATAACAACAAGCACAGGGAGCAGCAGCCGGGTGGGAGAACTTGTACATTTCAGAAGTAGGTGGAGAATGCTGGAAATTCCATTTGCCCAATAGCACCAAAGACCTAAGGTTCAATTGGTGCCTCAAGTCATCACCTGTTAATTAGGGGAGGAGACGGGAGAGCACAATTGGGGAAAAAACAAAAACAAAAAAATCAGGAAAAGAGATTGCTCCCACACCTGTTCTGATCTGAGCAGGAGCAGCATGTGCAGGGAGGGCTGTGGTCTGAGATTATCTAGGACAAGCACATCAGTTGGACCCTGTTAACCAGCATGTTACCTCCATTTCAAATGCCCATTTTAGAAATAATGGCACACAGCTGTAAGAGGATTGTCAGACAACCATTCACACTAGATCCAGCCAATAATGGAAAACGCCCATTACACGCTCTCAGGAGGTGTCACAATAGCAGGAGTTTGGACATTTAAAAAAGAACATAATGGCCACACTGGGTCAGACCAATGGTCCATCCAGCCCAGTATCCTGTCTTCCAACAGTGGCCAGTGCCAGACACCCAGAGGGAATGAACAGAATTGGCAATCATCGAGTGATCCATCTCCTGTCATCCACTCCCAGCATCAGGCAGTCAGAGGCTTAAGGACACCCTGAGCATCCTGGCTAATAGCGATTGATAAACCTATCCTCCATGAACTTATCTAATTCTTTTTTGAGCCCATTTATGCTTTTGGCCTTCACAACATCCCCTGGCCATGAGTTCCACAGCCTGACTGCGCACTGTATGAAGAAGTACTTCCTTCTGTTTCTCTCAAACCTGTTGCCTACTCACTTCACTGGGTGACCCCAGGGTCTTGTGTTATCGGAAGGGGCACGTGACACTTCCTTAGTCACTTTCTCCAAGTCATTCATGATTTATAGACCTCTATCATCTCCCCCATTAATCATCTGTTTTCCAAGTTGAACAGTCCCAGTCTTTTTAATCTCTCCTCGTGTGGAAGCTGTTCCATCCCCCTAATCATTTTTGTTGCCCTTCTTTATATTATTTCCGATTTTACAATATATTTTTGAGTTGGGGCAAAGAGAACTCACACAGTATTCAAGGTGTGGGTATACCATGGATTTATAAAGTGGCATTATTCTATTTATTGTCTTCTAATCTCTCTCTTTCCTAATGGGTCCTAACATTCTCTTCGTTTTGTTGACTGCCGCTGCACACTGAGCAGATGTTTTCAGAGAACTATCCACAATGACTCCAAGATCTCTTTCTTCAACCTCATGTATAGATGGGATGCATTCCAATGTGCATTACTTTCATAGAATCATAGGACTGGAAGGGACCTCAAGAAGTCATCAAGTCCAGTCCCCTGCCCTCATGGCAGGATTTTTGTATTTATCAACACTGAATTTCATCTGCCATTTCATTGCCCAGTCATCACGTTTTGTGAGATCCCTTTGTAACTCTTCCCAGTCAGCTTTGGACTTAACTATCTTCAGTAATTTTGTATCGTCTGCAAACTTTGTCATGTCTCTGTTTACCCCCATGTTTCAGATGATTTATGAATATGTTGAACAGTACAGGTTTCAGTACCGATCCCTGGGGGACCTATACTGTTCAACATATTCATAAATTCATGGATAACAGGTTCCTCAATGGCTATGAGCCAGGATAATAAGGGATGCAACCCCATGTTCCAGGTGTCCCCATTCTGAAAACTGACCATTTATTTCTACCCTTTGTTTCCTATCTTTCAACCAGTTACTGATCCATGAGAGGACCTTCCCTCCTATCCCATGACTGATTATTTTGCTTAAGAGTCTTTGGTGAGGGACCTTGTCAAAGGCTTTCTGAAAGTCCAAGTACACTATATCCACTGGATCCCCCTTGTTGACCCCCTCAAAGAATTCTAATAGATTGGTGAGGTATGATTTCCCTTTACAAAAAGCCCTGTTGACTCTTCCCCAACATACTGTGTTCATCTCTGTGTCTGATAATTCTGTTCTTTACTATAGTTTCAACTAATTTGCCTGGTACTAAAGTTAGGCTTACGAGCCTGTAATTGCCAGGATTGCCTCTGTAGCCTTTTTAAAATATTGGCGTCATGTTAGCTATCCTCCAGTGACCCGATAGAGAAGCTGATTTAAATGATAGGTTACATACCCCAGTTAGTAGTTCTGCAATTTCATATCTGAATTCCTTCAGAATACTTGGGTGATACCATGTGGTCCTGGGGACTTATTACTATTTAATTTATCAATTTGTTCCAAA